AAATCATTATTCATGTAGCATCAAATGTATTAGAAGAAAGCATCTGATTTACTTAAAAGAGTTCATTTTAGCTTTTCCAATTAAAAGAAACAAAAACAAACAAACAAAGAAACGTTAATTAGGCTGTGTGCCAGGCACTGGTCCAACTTCTGAGGACACAGCACAGAAGTTGGTTGAGAGAGGTTAATCTGATGGCAGCTGCCTGGGAGCACACTTTGAATAATCAATCCTGCACGACAGTCTCCCATTTTCCACCCTAAGCTATAAGGACTGAAGCAGTTCAAGTTTAAGGTTGGTCCTTCAGGAAGTGGCATTTAATAGGTGACTTCCAGATACTCCTTTTCTCCACACCTATTTGCTATGGCCTGAAATTCTATAATGAGTAGGCAAGGCATTGATTCCACTATTACAGATTAATAATAAAAGATGCAAATGCCGAACAGAACTATCACTTGAGCTGAAATACACTCATTTAAAAAATGTATCCTCAGGTAATAAATAAAACACGCAAGTGAATGTGATCATATTCATTATAGGTTTGGATAATGGAGAGAAAATCAAAGACAGAGGACAGTCGTGGACATTTTAAGGTAGGGCTAGAATCATCAGTGAGAGAAGAACAAGAAAATAGAAGTAGACTTTACCAAAATATGTTTAATGCTGCACTGTCTGTCTTCAATTCCATGGACAAATAAAATGTGCATGCAGAGGACATTTTGAGCAGCACACCTTCATGTACGCACCGGGATGAAGCACATATATCCATCACTAGCAGATGGAGTAGACGAACTTAGCCTCACTGTTTTAACAAAGTTGTCTTCATGGCACTTATTTGTTGACTGGTTTAGCACTTCTTAGAGACTTACTTTTGGAGGATTGATTAATCAAGGAACATCTGTACTTCCCTAGGAATAACTCACAGCTAAGTACGAATTCCTTTACATGGATATCTGCCCCACAAGAGTGCACCCTCCCTGCCAGATACAGTCACAGGGGGAAAGAAGGAATGAGAGGATCACTAAAAAGGATAAAGGAGAAGATGGTAATTAAGGAGAAGAAGTTAAGTCAAGACTCTAAGATAATGTTATTTGATATTGCCCCCAACTATTAGCTATTCTTTGCTTGTCAAAATATCATTTGTGTGTTTGCTGAGGGAAATGGTTTCTATCTCAAGTAAAACTACTCCATGTTTTACTAAATATGTTACTAAAGGAACATATTTATTTTTAACAGACATGGCTATCATTTTACAATGACTTGCCATTTTTCAAAGAAAAGGAAAAATTTAATTCACATGCTAAAAGCAATTTACATATATGAATTCACTGCCTGAAGCCAATGAAAGTAGAAAAATATATAAACGTGTTGAAGAAAAAATATGTTTTGTTGTAAAATGAATTTGAATTAAATGGCCTTTATTATTATTATTATTTTTAATGACAACACTGTAAAGGCTGGGGGTGCTGCAATATGGTGGACTGATTTTATTTAATTTTATTGTTTGAACATGGCACTTAGTTGCCATGCCAACCTTCTAAAACTGTAACCTGAAGATCTAAATGAGAGTATTTTAAAAGATCAACTGATAACTTCATGGTAAAGTCTGAGGTAGGGTTTAGGGCAGGATGCAAAGATATTTATTCCTTTCAGTTTGGACCTTAAGTTCTGGTGGTTAATTGAAAGAACATATAGGCTTTAATTTAAATAATTTATTTAAAATTTTAGCACAAACAAATTTGAATAATTTTGTTGTGATTTCACAACAGAGAACATTTAATATGTAAAGAAATTATAGGAGAAGAGAGGGGAAAAAAATAGTACTAGCCAAGAATCAACTTTTTTTTTTTAAGAATAAATACATGTAAAAATTTATTTATTCTTTCTTTTTAAATTAAAGTTTATCGGGGTGACAAAGAATCAACTATAATTTTAAATCACCTCTATAATTGGGCTGAGACTTTTGTCACTGTATCAATGAATTCTTTAAAAAATATATCAGGTAACAAAATTAGATGTTTAAAAACAAACAAAAGCACTAGTTGTTTTGACTTTATCCTTTCTTTTCTGAAATATTAAACAAAATTATTTTAAGATTCATTCAATGTGTTAACACAACAAAATTTTAGCATCTCTGACATGGTAATCCTGAAAACCACTCTCTACAATCCTTGAAAATCCTACTTGGGGCAGGGGTGAGTTTTGCCAGAACAGGAAAACATTAGGAGAAGGATTTGTTTCTTTAATTTCCACCTCCTATCTACTTTAGGTTTCAGCCCATTGCTAGCTTCACTTGAGGACTCCCCTCAAATGCAGGATGACTTCTGGCATGGGACAGTGAAGGCCCCATTATTAATTGTCTGCCCAGAACTTTCAGACCAAAGCAATACAAATGCATCTGCCAGGTGGTTAGAAACAGAACAAAGAGACCCACGAGTGAGCTATTTGGAGAATAACTATACATCTGTCCAGTAATCCTAACCTCTACCCAGTTAGTGGCAGCATCTCTAGAAAAATGTAGCTGGAAAGCTCAGGTCTGCATGAGATGATCTGTACAAACAGTTGCCCTGATGTGAGGCTCTGTTTTTCATTTAACTATCATGGGGCTAGTCAGTGTCTATCACAGGTTGTGCTTGTAAAGTTAAGGGTCTTAGGCACCAAAATGGCCTCTCTAGTGTGCATCCAAATTCTCTATTCTCATGCATTTTATGAAACGTTTTTCTCTTTAGTGGAAAAAAAAAACCCAGTAAAAGTCTTGTGCAATTTCATCTAACTACAAAATCAGGATAAGCACTTCGGTTTTAACTCCAGGTATTTTATATGATAAAATAAATTAGTTTTCTCATCCGTCAAATATGTGAACCGTTTTCGATAGCCTCTACTACAATCTCTTTGAGTTCTAAGATTTCCTCTCATCATTGCATATCTTTGCCTTAATAAGGCAAAAGAGGCTATCAAGAAAGGGCCAGTTATTAAGTCACTAAAATTTTATATCTGTCTGTTTTTCTTAGTAAACAAATCACCTAGTAAGGAAGCATATGGCCTGTTGAGTAGAAAAGACATACAGGGAAGAAATAAATAAGCAGAGGCGGGAGGGTGGAAAGATTATAGACAAACTTACCCTGGCATGGAAAGCAATGAAGAGCGCCCCCCAAAATGTATAAAAGTCTTGGTGCACAATACTAAAGCTAACAAGAGGTAGAAACCCTGTTTCTTATGTCTAGGACCGAAAGAAACCATGCTGCTATTACTTTCTATTCTATCTTCCAAGGCCATATTTGCCATTTGAACTTGACTTGGCAAAAAATGAACAAACAAACAAGCAAACAAAAAGATTAATTTCTTTCACCTAATTCTGAGACGTTGACTTATTACAAGTTGCCCCCTTGGCAGGGAGAAAGATCCAAATACAGACAGCCTCCCTTCCTGAGGGAGATGCTGGGATTTAATAACAAGGTACACCTTTTCTAGATTTCCATCTTGCTTCCATGTGTTTTCTATTGTTTGAGTTTATCTCAACTTGGGGTACAAGCTGTTTTTTGTTTTGTTTTTTTCCTTTTTCTTTATTTAGACTAAACTATTCACCAATCTTGACTCAAATGAGGTTTATCTCTAGTGGAAAGATTGACTTCCATTTGAATGGCATTCCATAGAGAAAGAAAAAGGGTCAGAAAGATATTTGATATGATAAAACACCCATCTGTTCAACTTCACCAAAATTGTGAATTATTATGTTTGTCTGTGTTTGTGGAGTTGCTCCTTTCAATATGTTTTCCATAGACAACAAGGCACTGAGAACCCTGGGTAAATAATAGATGTTAAAAATAGCTACTACCTAACAATGTTACTGGAACAATTAGAGTTCAGAAAACTCTCTCATATGAGATGCCAACAAAAAACAAAGGTTGGCATGATGCTGGTTCTTTGGTTTTTTTTCAGATTAATAAAACACACTTGATCCACATTCATCGCACTTAAAACTATTTGGGTTGTTTTTGATTTGTTTGTTTTCAAACCCTCGCCACCCCCCACCCCCCACTAAAAAACACAATACTAGATCTTATTCTTTGTGTCATTTTACTTTTTTTCCTTCTCCTTCTTTTTATAGATACCCAGAGTGCCAGCCAACCGTTGTATGTGTGGCTTTTACATATGCCTGGTTTTCACACCCAGAGAATGCGGAAATTCTTAAAGAAAGCCTCTTTCTACCAGATTGCATTAGGTCACGTCATGCAAATGCAACATAACACAAAATCCATTTGTTCATTTGGTGTCTAGTTGCTAAGGAACACAGCCAAGAAGTTAATCTTTGCAACACAACAGAAAATCCTAAGCATTGTCCAGAGGCACGTACGGAGCCTGTGCAAACGGGGAACCACGCTTTGTGTTCAAACGAAAGAGCTTAGCCTGACTGGGAAATAGCTATTTTTACTCCAAGTAACATGGAATAAAACCAGTGACTTCCATTCTCCTTGTAAAAAGCCCAGTAGCTTTTCTAGACTCATGATCTTTCAAAGTCATTCAACATATTTTATTTATTTATTTATTTATTTATTTATTATTTTTTTAGCTGAGCCATCCTGCCACCTTTTGGCAGCTCAGTGGCAGCTCAGCTCGGGCCGGGACTCAAACCGCTGTTGCTCAGAGCTCACACTCTTGAGCAAGCTCTTAAACCAACTGAGCCACTCGGCCAGCCCTCATTCAACATATTTTAAACAGAAGCCCTATCACGTCTGCCTTTAAATAGCAAAGTGGAACTCCTGAAAAACATAAAGGTTCTGAAATGTCCCATCAAGTCCACCAAAGGAGACAAATGAACTTCGTTTTACTTAAAGCCAGTTTTTCTACAACGAGATGAATTTGACAGAGCAGTAAACAGCATCCGAATCATTTTCAAAAGTCTCACCTAAATTTACTAAACACATGTCAAAGGTGCTATTTTAAAGACCTAAAAGATGTTATTATTGTCACAGCATTTAAGAAAGCCCAAAGGATGTACTTACATTTTGCAGTCACTTTGTATCCCCCCAGAGGCGGGGCATGGCCTTCTAACGCGTCAAATCCAGCGGAAACTAGGACCATGTCTGGATCAAACTCTTTGGCCACAGGCGTCACTACAGTCCTGCACAGTAAAAAAAGGTAACCAGTCACACAGGGGAACGGCGAATACCTTTAAAAACTGTGCAGTGAAAACCACTTGGCACAACCTCAATAATAAGGAAAAGGGGCAAAGAAAACACTATTTGAATGGATCAAAAACTTATCATTTCCTTAATACTGAATCACTGTTATTTTAGCATCCCAATTCTGGCTTTTTTTCTTTCTTTTTTTTCCCCCTCCAAAAAAAAAAAATGCTTTGCAGGTACATTCTTAAGCCCATCATTTTACATGCACATCTGTGGCTGTTTTATCCCACTGCCTATAAAAAAAACTGCTTCTTCCAAGGGAGTGACTAATGTTTTACAGAGGAAAATTGAAGCTTTAGTGAAAACCCTGCTTGCTCTAGTTAGTGAGAACTTGGTGTAAATTTGAACTATAAATTTCTTTTGGGAAAAAGTTGCTTTTCCAACTTTTCTTAAAAAACATTTTAAAATATTTGTTGTGGTAGGGGGTGATTCTCTGCAAAGGAAAAACATGAATTTCTTTTAATAGAATCCAGACCATAATGTTAAGTGAGTCCAAGGTCAGAGCCACGAGGAATGTGGCAGCCTCATCCATGATAGCAACCCCTGCTGGCCCCACACAGACACTTCAGCACTTAACCTCTTTAGCCTTCTCAGACCTCCCTAATCCCTTTGTCCTTGGGATGGATTCGAGAGAGAATAACTAATTGATGCTACTGGGCTTTGTAAAATGAAATGTTTGTTGAATGTAGGCTTCAAGATCAGTGTGCCATCATTAAAATTCAAATTTTCAAAGACGATTTAATGAAATGGGAAAACTACACAACACAGGGAATTTAAAAAGGAGTAACGCCTCTATTGTGTTTTTGGGAGAACGAACTAAACCAAATGTTAAAATAGTTATTCTTGAGTAGTGTGACATAATTGCGTTATTTTAAATTGTTTTATATTTGCACAATATAAGACCACAATATTAGTCTTATAGTTGAAAAATGTTTGCATGTAAACAAGAAGTTGATGGGACAAAATAAAAACTGCTCATTTGAAACTAACCTAGAGAGAGACATAAATGAATGGAATGTTTTTCATAACTCTATTACTGTCATAAAAGTATAAAAGTTTAATCCTTCAAACTTATAAATGTACATGACAGTGACTTCCAAGGAAGTCCTTCTAACAATTGGAAAGCCACTTACATCTGAATTCACCCATCAGTGAAACTAAATGAAACCTAATTTTGTTTCCAATGTATAATTTCATTATTTTGTTTTTCAGTAAAATTAAAAATCTTCTAATACAGCTACATTATCAGGAACAGTCTTGTCAATTATTTTTCTTTCTAATAATACCAACTCCTACATTACAAATTTCATTAAAGTGTCACATATCAATTCACTACTTTTTATATGAGTGAAATAGCCATATGATATATGATGTTGGGATATTAGATAATGGAGTAAGTTGTCTCAAAGAATCAAAGAGGTTTATCAAGCTACTCTACCTACTTAGTTTGATTAATCCTCTGTATTCCCTTAGAAAAAATATGTAGGTAGATGATTGAACAATGTTGTCTATCAAATCATGGTAGCCAATTTTCCATCTCTTTTCCCTCTTTTTGGAAGGTTTCTCCCCTTCTCATTTCCTCCCCAATCAATCCACACTTATAAGATTGATGAAACATCTTTCAAGGTACAGCTCACTTACTATCTCCATAAAGACTTCTCTTTACATATGGATATTAAATATATGTATATATATTTTTGAAGAACAAAGACAGGGCAGGAGATGAGGACTGTCAATATAATTTTAATGGATAACAGGGGTTATCTATAGAGGGAATAGCTAAAACATAAATGTCAGTGTCTACAGAGACAGCGCCACAGAAAAGCAAGCTGACTTTAATCTCTCTTCCTGGAGAAACAAACTGACCAAAACCAAATACCTAGAGAGAACGACACTTGTAAGTCACTCAGACCAAGAGTCAAGTTTCATCCTCAATCTTCCTATAGTAAATGGACCAGTCAAAAAGCTCCACTCGGGCATATAGATCTCCCACTTATCTTTTCAGTGCCCATTTCTCAAACATGATGGACTGTTTGAAGAAAGCTTCTAGCATGAAAAACAACAAGACCAACATGCAAACAAATAAAAGAAAGGGAACTCAGAAAACCTGAGAAAATGCAGTGAAGAGACTATAATTACAAAAATGAGGACTATGCTCAAAGATATAAGATAGTACAGTTGGCCCTCTGTCTCAACAGGTTCTGTATCTGTGGAGTCAACAAATTGAAAATATTTAAAAACAATGTTTTGTTATTGTTGCCATGTAGTATGTAGTTAGGCCTACAATGATGACATGGTACTGAACATGAACAGAATTTTTTCCTTATTGTTATTCCACAAACAATACAGTACTACAACTATTTACATTGCATTTACATTGTATTAAATATTATAAATAATCTAGAGATGATTCAAAGTATATGGGAGGATATATATAGGTTATACGCAAATACTGTGACATTTTCTATAAGGGACTTGAGCATCCATGGATTTTTGTATACACAGTGGTCTTGGAAGCAATCCCCAATGCATACCAAGAGATGACTACACATCTATGAAATGAAAAGAGGGTGTTATTAAAATAAAGAAGAAGAAACGGCAAGCAACATATTATAGACTATTTAGAAGATGAAGTTGACAAATTCTCTCAGATAGTACAACACAAAACAGAGACATGGAAAAATGTCAGGTATAGATCAGAACTTAAAGGACCTATTTAGGAGATCAACATATGAAGGGAATTCTAAGGGCAATATATATTTTTTTAATTTAGAATCTACTATTCATCTAAACTGTCAATCAAAACTGAGAATAGAATAATAGAGTTTCAGGCATTCAAATGTCAAAAAACAATTTGGGTTAGTCTCTCCTACAAATATTTTTGCAGGAAGCTAGCAGATGACATAATTCATTAAAATGAAGGCATCAACTAAGAAAGAGAATGAGACACAAACCATTCCTCCCATGAAAACAGTATTACAAATGTCCATTTTGGCCAAAATTTTAAAAAATGTACTGTAACTTTACAACAAAATAGTAGAAACTTGGTCTGCAATTGGAAATTTGATACGAAATGGAGTTGGTTTTCATTCCAATGAAACTTTTTTGTTAATAAAGATATCTTAAGCACTTACAAGGGAATATATATCTGTTTATGCCACGTATCTCCAATACACAGATTCTATTAGTTTATGTTTGAAGCAAATACCACATTTGTTATATACATCATTCCTGAATCCACAAATATATGGATTTCACAAAGGCTTTCAAAATGTTCCATCTTGCAGGGCTAATCCTATACATTTGAATTCACTCCAAAAATTTAGAAAAAGATGGAAAACTGGGGAAAAAATATCTCACTGGATAAACTCCTTCCACTTAAAGATATACATGATTACAACTGTGCCTGAGTGGTACTTGTTGGTTGACTAAATCAGTGATGCATGGTTATAAGAGTTGTGTGATGCTGTGCTACAATATATGTTGTGCATGGAAGAATATGGCGACCGGTGCTTTTCAGTGGTGATATCGGTAATGTTCATTCCTTCATTCCAGCAAATATACTTGCTATGTTGCCAACATTGTTTTGGCTTAACGATGTGCTAAATTTTGAGCCAAATCTCATTTATTTTCCTGTTGGTGACAAACTCTCAAGCTCAGTTCTCTGACGAACTGATGCAACTAAGACCCCACAGATCTCCTTACGGTGGCAATTATTTTAGCAGTGCACATGAAAGTGTTGGCACTGTTGTCTTTATGCCAGTCTAGAGTGGTCTAGAGCAATTTTTATTCAAAAAGTCTGTTTTGTCTGAAAAACTGAAAAACACATTTGAGAGTACTAAGTGGGAAAAGCAATGCAATCTTTCTTAAATAGAACAAATCATCAAAGGCATTCATTTCAAATTTTTATTTGAAGAATTGGGTTTTCTGGTTAAAGACAGCACACAAAGCACGTGTTTGCCCCTCATCTTTGCTAATATCTCACTGAAAGGAAAGTGTAAGAATATAAATATGAACTCATGGTTTTAAATATACATCAGGTAGACAGACACAGAAACAGCTTTAGATGTGTGTATCCATGGGCTAGTATGTATTTCCTAGTAGCAATGACAGCTCAATGCCAAAGAGCACAATTAGTGCCCAGATCTTATTTTCTAATCTCAATCTCTAAAGAGAGGCTCTAAGGATCTTTGGAGAAGTGGGTGATTTCAGGACTACATCAGGGAAAATACAAGGTATTTCTGGAACATCTTGTGGTGACAGAAAACAATGAAATGCTCAAAAAGGAATGGGGACATGTCAGTAGGGAATAGGAATCCAATGTGAAAAAGCTCCCAATGGCCAAATCTGGAACAATTTGAGGAACCAAATAAATAATGACAGTATAAGATTATAATCCGAAGAGCCAAATAAGTATCCATGTGTCTACACAGAGATTAGAAAGTAACAGAATAAAGAGACCAAAGAAGAACTAGTGCTGTCTTACAAAAAATTTCAGCTAATAACTATTGAAGATTGGAGGAAACTAAAAAATCACCATTTGAACAAACAGATATAATTGATGCAGACAAGAGCCATGGAGGGTTGCTGAAATGAGCGGGCAAACGTTTGACCACAAACATGATATTTACATAATCTCAAAGTATCTTCTCTAAGATATTATAATGGACAAAATGGAACTATTACAATGAAGAAACCTGCAGACACCACCTTAATAAAGTGATCGGGTTAACATCTCTAGCGATAACACATATTACCATCAGCACTCCCTGCTATGATACACTGAGAAATGGAGATCGGTTCTACAGTATTCTTGCTAAAAACATATAACCTCAAATCTGATAAGGAGAAAGCACCAGACGAACCTAAATTGTGGGACATTTGACAAAGTAACTGGCCCCTACACTTTAAAAGTCACGTCCAGGAAAGACTAAGG